TGGTCTTGGCGGACCCCAACCACTGGCGTTTCCAGGGAGGCAAGTGGGTGACCTGCGGCAAAGCCGACAACAACATGCAAGGTAGGTGCGGGTTCTCGGGGTCTCCTCGCCGCCTTTCCCTGTGGGTCGGTTTCCCAGAAAGGGTTCCCGCTTCTACCTCCTTCTGCAGGGTTTTCCCCACACCCGGCATTTTGGTGAGGGACAAGCTACAAATTTAATGGCGTCTTGTGACCTCTTTTCACGCCGCGGTGTGCGAGGCTGTGTGGTAGAGGGGCCGTCGTGGAGCCGAGGTGCTGCACGGGTGGGGGGCAGAACCAAGTCCCGTGCCCGGCGGGCCTTTCACTGACTTGTCTTCCCCAGGCAACAAGGTCTACGTTCACCCCGAGTCGCCCAACACCGGGGCTCACTGGATGAGGCAGGAGATTTCTTTCGGCAAGCTGAAGCTGACGAACAACAAGGGTGCTAACAACAACAACGCGCAGGTATGGAGTGGGGACAGACTTGAGGGGCTTTTGGTGGGTCAGTGGGGGAGACCTGTGATTTTGGGGCTTTACAGCATTTCATCGAGCTGCTAGATCACTGTGACTGTGACTTGTCCCTTTCTTGAACTGGGTCATAGATCTTGTTGACTTCTCTGTATGAATGCAGTTAAAAATGTCAGAATTTAATGTGTGAATTTACTTGGTGTTAGCTGATTTATCTATCCCCGGAGTTGCTCAAAAAGTGGGAGTGTAGCTGAAGGCTCTTACTGAAACAAGGCTATAAGCTATGAAACATCTTCTGATAAGTTAAAAATGTTCCATACAATTTACAGGAAGAAAATGTCATGCTGTAAAATAGACCTCTTAAATGTTAGATGCAATTGTTTTAAAGATTTTGTTTCTTTCATGGTTTCTTTTAGATGATAGTACTTCAGTCTCTACACAAGTACCAGCCCCGGCTTCACATTGTGGAAGTGACTGAAGATGGTGTTGAAGATCTGAATGATTCCTCAAAGACTCAAACATTTGTTTTCCCTGAAACACAGTTCATAGCAGTTACAGCATATCAGAACACTGATGTAAGCACGGATGTATAAAATTACAATACATAATCAAATTGCCTTGTGGGTTCAGAGTCTCGACTTACTATATTCTGCTTTCACTTTTAGATTACACAGCTCAAAATTGACCATAACCCTTTTGCAAAAGGCTTCAGGGACAACTATGACTCGTAAGTATGCTTCTGTGTTCTCTTGAAGTTGTTTTTGTCTAGGAAGCATGGTTCTGGCCTGAAATGTCTGTGGAAGAGATTTTCTTTGTACACTAATAAAGTTATTCAGAAGCAGCAATACTTCTGGCAGTTTTGCTGACATTAAAATGTCTGTTTTGAATAGTGTGTCGTCTTGATTACCTGTCTTTCAGCAGGCTTCTGAATTTTGGTAGTAAATGTGCTGGCCTGCAGATTTGGCAGTAGAATGTATTGGGTGTCTCCAGGAGCAGGCAGCATCTTTCAAGCTGTCAGTAAGTTGACTTGCCTAATGGTCACTTTTATAGCTTCAAATGTCCTTTGGAGAATTGGAGCTGTGTATACACACAGGTGTGGCTGCTGGGAGGAGAATACTGCAGCTCAACTAAAATGGGTTGGATGGTGGAGAACAGTGTATTTGTAGCAGTAATACCAGAAATTTTACACTGGTTTAGGGGGAAAAAAATCCTCCTAAATCAGATAAAAATAAACAGCTGTCCAATTATAGTTAATGATTCTAATTAAGAAATAACTCACATTTCTTCCTGTTTGTGTTTTTATGTAGTCTTCCTGTCATACTGGAACTGTTAAGAAAAACACTTGGTATTTCTCTCTTTATGTTGTAGCATGTACACAGCTTCAGAAAATGACAGATTAACTCCATCTCCCACGGATTCTCCTAGATCCCACCAGATTGTCCCTGGCGCCCGATACAGTGTGCAGCCGTTCTTCCAAGAACAGTTTGTCAACAACCTGCCCCCAGCCAGGTTTTACAATGGTGAGAGAACCGTCCCTCAGACGAACGGCTTGCTGTCCCCGCAGCAGAACGAGGAGGTGGCCAGCCCTCCTCAGCGGTGGTTTGTGACGCCTGTGCAGCAGCCCAGTGCCAACAAATTGGACATGAACTCCTATGAGACGGAGTATTCTCATAGCACCTTGCTCCCTTATGGCATTAAATCCCTCCCCCTTCAGACATCCCATGCACTGGGATACTACCCAGACCCGACATTTCCATCCATGGCAGGCTGGGGGAGCAGGGGCTCTTACCAGCGAAAAATGACAACAGGATTACCTTGGGCTTCAAGAACAAGTCCTCCAGGATTCTCTGAAGACCAGCTTTCCAAGGAGAAGGTGAAAGAAGAAATCGGCTCATCCTGGATAGAGACTCCACCCTCCATAAAGTCTTTAGATTCAAATGATTCTGGGGTCTACACAGGTGCTTGTAAGAGAAGGCGGCTTTCCCCTAGCACTTCCAGCAATGAAAATTCCCCAAGGATGAAATGCGAGGACATTAATGCTGACGACTATAGCAAAGACACTTCAAAAGGCATGGGCTATTACGCGTTCTATACTAGTTCTTAAAACATCCTTTTATTCCAATTGGCTAGTTTTTTCCAGGGTGGCCTTGGGTTTTTTTGCGTTACAATTGCCAAAAAGACTCCCGCCTTCCACCTTTAATTGTTGTGTGCAATTCTAAAGAAGGTGCCAAAGCTTTTTGACTGTTGCAGGTAACAAAGCAGGGAAAGGGCAAAGCATGGGAGAATTCATCCCCTCCTTTAGAAGGAACCACGTACAGAAGCTGTAATGAGGACCCTAGATCTTAACAATGTGGTTTATTTATTGGAGACACTAAAGTGTACTGTTTGGCTTGGCTCAGACACCTGATCAAATCTATGCACTCCTGAGCAAGGAAATAGGGGGTTAGTATCCCAAATTTAATTTTCTTCCCTGCTTGACCCTCTGATAAAAGGGGGCTGGGTTTTAGGGAGCTGCACAAATGCTGTGTTCTGCTTTGGATTGCACTGGTTTCTTCAACCTTAACTACAACACAGTTGGCTGAGTTGGCTTATTCAGCTAAGACTTTCTTTGGCAGAAGATTGCCAAAATAAGAACTGCTTGCCAGGCAGGATTTTGACTTGAAGGTCTTGTTGCCAATGATGGAGTTACAATGACCAAATCTGACTTTTTTTAGCTTAGAACTTGCATTAAAAAAAAAAAAACTCCATCCCAAAAGCCTAACCTTTATTGAGGTGGCCAAAAACAAAGTGTACAGTTGTATTTTGTCTAGGTACACTGTAGAATATTGTGGAATAATGTATAAATAGTTGACCTTATAGCTGTTCAGTTGGAAGGACATCTGGTGGTGTTTTAAAAGTTCAAAAGGCTTTTTTTTTTTTTTTTTTGTTAATCAAACTTACCATCTATGGAGCATTGCAAAAATATTTTTATTTATGTGTATGTAAAGTGACTTTTTCAGCTGCCCTGTATGAAACTGGAAATGATGTAACTACCCCCTTCTTTCCTATAGTTTCAGCCATTTTAAACTGGTCAGCCCCAGAGCACTGGCACGCAAACTTTTAGCCCACCAAAAATTTTTTTTCTGTTCTGTTTGCTATGTACATAGTAGTAATTTTTAATAAATGTGGTGCCAGGGATAAGAGGGGATGGCTCTGCCTGTTCTTTGCCTCTGTTGGGTGTCCCAGAGGGGGAGGAGGGAGCACAATCCTCGCAGTTTAAGCTGTCTCTGTATCTAACCACCCCTTGCAATGTTACTACTTTAGCTCTGAGACCGTGCTCATTTGGGTGCTGCTAGCTGTGTGTGTGATGTTTTTAAATTTTTTTCTCCCCCTCTCCATTATCGCGTGGTTTGCCATGGTTCTCCTGGGCATCCCCCCACAAGGTTGGACCTCTCCGTTTCTTTTTCCCTGTCACCCTCCTCTGCCTTGCCCCAGTGAGGTAAGCGAGGTGTCAGCTCAGCCTCGGCCCGGGGAGCGAATTGTGAACCCATCCTGCCTCCTGTAGAAACCCCGGGGCTGCCCCTTCCGTTTCCCGGAACCAGGCAAGAAATTCCCCTTGCTCGCTTATCTGGGGGTAAAGCTCCACCCGGCAGAGCGATTGAATCCCGGCTCCCGCAGCAGTCGGACCTTTCCTGAGGATATGCAGGCAGTAATGGGATTAAGCTGTTAGCGATTCCTGGCTGCAAACAAAATAAACGCGGGGCTCGGGCCGGGGCCTTTCCCGGGGGAGGTAACGCGACCGGGGGCGGGGGCAGCTCTCTGCCGTCCGGCGTGGGACGCGGCGGGTGTGCGAGGTAATTTCGATCAGTGCCTCTTTTCTCTGGGCGAGGTGAAACAAATAGGTGTCCCGGCAGCTCGCTTCTGTCTCTGGGACAGAAGGGGGACTGGCTGTATTTTTTTTTAAGGGACTAGGGATGGCATGTATTTTATGTGTGTTATTTTTTAGGTCGGGGGATACCTGCCGCCGGAGAAGTCCCCTGGCCGGGCTGGGCTGCTCCCTGCTCTCAGGCGGGGGTGCGGCGGCAATGCCGACCGTCCCTGCCCCGCTCGGGAGCGCGATCCCCCCGCGCCGTGCTATTAAAAGCTGTATATTTTTGCACCGCACCGTAAAAAAAAAAAAAAAAAAAAAAAGAACTTAATACTTGTGAAAAGTCCTCACACTGTTTAATAAAAACGTAAGTGCCTGGCTGGCCCCAATTAACACCTTGTGATTATAATGCATTCCTAAAATGGGGTGTCAGACGCCAAATTGTGAATAAAGGTATCTAATTAATCTTCATAGGATGACACTGATAAACAACTCCTGATTTAAATAAAGATCAAGGAACTGAATGCTTTTTATTTGTTTACATTAACAGAAGATAAAGTTAACTACCCTTGCACTTTGCTTCGTGATGTGATTTACCGACACAAACAGCCGGTTGCGGGCGGAGAGCCCCGCCTCCCCTCGGCGGGCTTTTTACCGCGGTTTTGGAGGGAGGGGAAGACCCTGAGGGTGCGTGTCTCTTCATCCGCAGCCTCCACAGCCCCGGGGGGCGTGGGGGTGTGCTGGCAACCACGCGGCACCACCTTCGCCTGACGGTGGAAGGGTCGGACTCGTCCTTGGCTCTTCTGAAGCTCCGGTATGTAAAGTGCGTGCGAGCCTGGAACGGCAGCTGGGGGGGCATGGCGGGCTTAGAGGGAAATAAATAAATTAAGAAAAAAAGAATAGTTATTTACAGAACTGCGGTGGCCTGCGGAGGGAGGTGAACTGCGAGCCCTGCCTGATGGAAACGGGAAAACTGAGTTCTAGATTAGGGAGAATCCGAACCTCCGCGGCTGCCGGCCGGCCAAAGGCTCTGCCCGCCCCGGGGGGTTCGGCCCGGAGAAACCGAGATACACCAGTGTGATAATCCATTGAGGCCGTTCCCCGCGGATTAGCCGTTTTCTGGGATATTTCCTCACTGAGCAGAGCGACTTCGGCGCGCTCTCTGCGTGCGTAGCCCCTACTTTTAAACAGCGTGGGCGCCCGGCAGGGCACTAGAGACAGAGGACAGGGGTTCCTCCCATGAACTGAGACCATTCCTGGCAGAAGACTCTGCTATTGGGGATGTTTTCGTTAAAGCAGACATACCAACTCATTGTCTTTCTCGCCCGTGCTTTCTGCAGCGGCCCGTCGGGAACAACCCTCGGGTAATTTTTTTTCCCAACGAAACTTCGTCCCTCGCTGCTCGCCCCAAACTCTGTCGCCGCCGCTTCACACCTGGGCGGGAAAAGGAAACGACCCCAAAGTGCTCTTTCTTACGGCGCCAACTCCCCGGCTCTCTCTGGAGAAAGGGCTCCTTCCTCCCCGAGGCGGCGAGCTCAGCGCTCCGGGGAGGAAGGACCAGATATTCTTCAGTTTGTTTTCTTCTCAAGCAATGCGATGGGGTTTTACTTTCGGTCTGAATTTCCGCTCCCACCTTTCTCAACGCCGGCTTTTCACCACCTGCTCGCGTGTTCCCACCTCCTCCTCTCTGAGGGGAGAGCGCGGCGTTAATGGATGGGGGCTTTCCCTGGAAAGGTTATTTTTACAGCCCCCCTCAGCGGCCACCGCCCTTTCCTCGGGGCTGCCTTTGAGACGGCGGCCGCCGAAGCGGGAATAGGCTCTAATGGCTCTTGCGGTACCGTTATCCATCAGAAATTCCCCTTCCCTGCGGGAATACCGGCTAGGCGTGCAGAGGGAGCCGGCGGTGGGCGACTGTGGAGCCCCAGCTTTGGGGAGAAAGCGGCGGCGGGGGGATTGAGGTGAGGGAGAAGGGGCCCACTGGCATTTCCCTCATGCCCGTCCACCCCATAAAATTGTGACATTATTATTATTGTGTCACTGCCCTACATTTTTTTTTTTTTTGCACTTACAAACCCAGTTTTCCCAGCCCCTTAAGCTATCCGTAGCCCACTCCTCCCCTTAACCAGATCTCCATAACCCTTCTCATAATAATTTGAGTATGGCTAATATAAATATTAATCTAATCCTTATTGGAATGATTTTGGTGCTTGCTGGATATAGCAGATATGTAATCCAGGGGAGAATGACATTAGCCTGAAAGTGTGGAGTGCAAAATATGATTTGAATAAAATGATAGGGTGGTATCTAATATTTCCTTTAGGGAGTACTATACTCTGAGCTGTCACAACCGATTGTGTAAATAGACGAGACTGAGGGATATGGTCCTAATCATATTGATGAAACATTCATCTGAAAGACCGAGTGCAACCAGAAGGGACTCAGTAGGAATACAATTAAATCCTAATCTGGGGAGGAGGAATCCTCTGCAGGCTTTCCTCTAACCTACCACCCTCTCCCCTGTTTTCATTTTGGAGTCAGATTAAATGCAGGAGAGAAAATAAAGGAGAGATGGAGTGCTGAGAGGTTTGCTCGCCTGAAGGTCTACATTAACACAAGGACTGAAGGACTACATTAACATAGGGAGTGCTGGGTGAGAAGGAGGCAAATCCACAGTTCTGATCCTCACAATAATAAAAAATAAAGGCCTAACTTTAGTCACAGGCATAACTACCTACTTGCAGAGGGTTTCTGCCCGTGAGTTGGTATTAATCAGGAAGTCTCTGTTTCTGGAGGTCGGTCCCTCTCCCACAGGCTTTGACTCGCAACTCAGTCCCAGATTTCTGAGCAAAATGTCTGCTGTGTGCTATTTAGTTTACATCTGCAGCAGGGATCTGATTTCTTGCTGATAATATTTATTAGCAAAGGGTTTATTTTCCAATCTGTTTTGACCATTGCCCCTCAAAAGATGATCTGAGAGGATGGATGGGACAAGGTTCCAGATGTGGTTCCTATAAGACCACTAAACCCAAGCTGACTGCTTTTCATCACTTCTTGCTTTTGGGGAAGGCATTTTCCTAATGAGTACCACCTTTTGGCCTATACCTCTAAAATGAATTCAAGCTATGGATACCTGACTTCAGATAATGATGTTTAAAGCTTGAAAAGCAGCCTGTATTCTTCATCCTGCCACAGTTTAAAGTCAGGCTGCCTTTGAGTGTCTAAGACCCAAATCTGATCAGGTGGTTTTAGAGCTTTTTTGAAGTCATCTGTCTTTTATCATCAAGCTCAGGCAAAAATCAAAGTGATTTTCTTCTTCGTGGAATGTTCTGCATGGAAAGAAAGGCCCTAAATACAAAGTTCAGTTCTCTTTCCTTGAGGCATAATGTCTGTAAATGAGGAAAGGATGCGTGGAGTGGGACATGCATTAACAAATCTGTATTGGGGCTCCACATAAGTCTGTATTCTCTTCCACCAGAGCAAGAGCTCTGGAGTTTTACTGGTTTACAGAAGGACTCTTGTGGGTGAAGTAGGCACTTCAGTGTGTGTACCATAAAGCAGTATAATTGTAGCATGTTTGAGAAGTTAGGATTCCACTGTACTGTGATTGTATATCACAGGACACAGTAGGAGGGCAAAGGAGTCTACTCTGTCATGATCCTTGGTTTTCTTAGAGGAGCATTTAGGTTTTTGTAGCACTGATTGTTAAAATTCACGGACTAGTTATGATTCCATTTGTTCTTAAAGCAGTGCAGTTTTTGTAAATTGCTTGACGTAGTTGCAAATTTCCTTTGAGGAAGAAAACGACCTTTATTTGGAAACCAACTGGTTTGTAATGTATTAGACAGTGTTTGTTTTGAGTGGTAAGTTCTCAATAACAGAAATGTTATTGCTTTGCTCTCCTTACTTCCTATGCTGAGTAAGATGATGATATTATAAGATGATATTCCTGCCCTAACAAAGGAATAATTTTAGCAAGAAGAACTCTTAAACTGGCACTTCAGAGGTCCTGTCAGTGCAAAGATGAACTTTTTTCAGGAGCTGTTCACCATAGCGTGTTAATTTTATCCCACCTCTCACTTCAGATAGGACAAAGTCTCACCTGTGTAGCCTGGTCTACATTGATACCTCAACAAGCCTAATTTCCAATAGCTTTGTGTTTTATGTTGCAAGATTGTCATTAATACAGCTCTTCCGTTACTTCTTTCAGTGAAGGCAGGATTCAGTTCTGCTGCCTTTGCATTGCAGCTCCTTTGCAGGATTATTTGAGAGGAACAATTAGGTAAATTTCTTGTTTTGTGGGGAAATGACTTTGATCCATCCAAAAGAAAAATTATGGCAAAATCTGTGACATTTGCGTGGTCTTGGTTTTACTCACGGGAAGAGTGAAGTTCCTAAAGTTTGTTTCAGTAATGACCCTGAATAGCAAATAAATCTGAATTGTAAAGCTCTGTTTTAAATGTGTGATATATTTCTCTAGTTGTTCTGCTTAAGGCAGCCCCTGGTGGTCTAGTGGTAAAGGCGCCGCGCTATCACCGCGGAGACCCGGGTTCGATTCCCGGTCAGGGCCACTCCCGGGCAGGTGGGGCTCGTTAGTCCTTAAAGGCAACCCACCTACGTCCTAAGGACCTCGCTGCCACCGTCCAAGCTCGCTTGGCCCCGGCAGATGAACCTTAGGATTAAAGGGTGGGCTCAGTTCCGCGCACACTGTGTCTCACCTAAAAAATCCAATGCGCAGGCTGGAAGGTGTAAAGACCTTCCCTGGATCTTCGCTCGCGAAGACTGGCCATTATTATTATTATTTATGTTCTGCTTAAATTATATGTGCATAATAAACATCTGGAAATGTCTGCTGTCAGGATGGGCCAGAGAGTAAGGGTAGTGGACTGGAAGTGAAAAATTGGGTTATTTTTCAGTCACATCAATCCTCCAGTTCACTGTGCAGCAGCAAAAATGCTCATACTGGCACTGAGCAGAAAAGAAGAAATGGAGCAGAATGTAAGAATGAAAAGCTTCCATATTCCTACCAGGGGTGCTGGTGACTGCTTTCATCAGTTTAAGCAGCAGCGCATGTGGTTTCTTGTTGGTTTGGTTTTTTTTTAATTTCCCCTCCCTCCTGCCCCCCAGTCCCCAGTAACAGCACGTGACAGCTGATGTCTGGATGGTGACCTGGCCAGTTTAGGTACTGGTCTTCAAAAAGGTTTAAGGAGATTGGTGTAAACACTCTCTCTGGTAAATGGTGAGGGGACTTTCGGGCAGGGTGGAGATGCCACAGTGGTACAATCCACAGCATTTAGGTAGCTGTGGGAGTGTGGTGGAACAAATGTAGGCTTACAGCACCTTTCATACCCCAGAACAGCTGTCCATGGACACGCGCTTGTTCCACAGTTTAGCTCACAGCCTTATGGTTAGGTCTGGCACTTTCCTTATTCCAGCCACGGGAAGAGAAAGCCATTCACATAGGTGTTAGAAAACACAAGCTCCCTGTTCTTGTCGTACCACAAAAGGCTTCATAGTTGCATGATGTAATGGAATGTGCTTAATAGCCTGAATGTGGTTTCTGCTCCCAAAAATTGTGATTATGATGTCAGTTCAGTTCTTGTTTCTGACTTTCCCATTGAATGAGAATCCTTAGGGTAGGTGCAATTCCCCTGAAAATGGCCTGAAATGTTAGTATTTCCAGGGCAGTGTCTTTGGTCAGCAGCTGCACGAGGGGGGCTCTGCGGCAGGCTGCTTTGCATTTCACATTTGGCATGGAACAAGGGGGTGTGTTTGGCTCTAGTACACCACCCAAGAAACGAACAAACAGAAAGTAGC